AAGGAGGGCGTGCTGGAGAAGCGCAGCGGCGGGCTGCTGCAGCTGTGGAAGCGGAAACGCTGCGTGCTCACCGAGCGTGGGCTGCAGCTCTTCGAGGCCAAGGGCACGGGCGGCCGGCCCAAGGAGCTCAGCTTTGCCCGCATCAAGGCCGTGGAGTGCGTGGAGAGCACCGGGCGCCACATCTACTTCACGCTGGTGACCGAGGGCGGCGGGGAGATCGACTTCCGCTGCCCGCTCGAGGACCCCGGCTGGAACGCCCAGATCACCCTGGGCTTGGTCAAGTTCAAGAACCAGCAGGCCATCCAGACCGTGCGCGCCCGCCAGAGCCTCGGCACTGGGACCCTCGTGTCCTAATCGCCAGGCATTCTGTTTTACCTTTATGCCCCACCACCAGCACGCTGCCCGGAGGCCCGGCCAGGTAAGCCCCTGAGCGATGAGCCTTCCCCACCCCATCTCTTCTTTTCCCTACAGAGAGAATCAGGACCCCCAAGGGCGCGCACAAACACTACACACACACACACACACACACTCACTCACTCACTCACTCACTCACTCACTCACTCACTCACTCACTCACTCACACACTCACATACACACTCGCATGGATCTGAACGCCTGGCCATCCTCGGGAAGTTCCTGAACCCAACAAAGAGTAGGGGCCCGGGGAAGCTGAGCTAGGGAGACTGGGCCTGTGGTCCAGGGCCCACAGCTGCCTTGCTCCTTTCCCTGCCCTATGGCTCTGCCGCAGCGTTTAAGGAGGGCCCTGCGTGTGGCCCAGGTGCCTGAGAGGGAGCCGATTTGCTTTGGGAGGGCCGACCGCAGCTTGGGCTGGGCCTTTCTATGAGTTGGCTCTGCTGCCGGTGCTGGGGGAGGTCGGTCGGCTGTGCAGTGCCTCTGGCTGCTAGGGCAGGGCTCCTGAGCCCCCACCATCTGCTCTCTGGAAGAACCAAGGGTGGAGGTGGATGGTGTGAAACCAAATTTGCTCTCTTCTGCCATAGACCAACACTTGTCCCAGGAGAGCCTGAACATGAAATTGAGTCAGAGAGAGTCTTTATCCGCTAGCAAAGGTCTGGCCAGGGGATGGGGCCAGGACCTCGGATTCTCAGCTCCCAAGGTGGGAATTTGCCCAGGAGGATTTGCCTGTGTCTGGGGTCTCCAGCTACCCATTCTTGAAAGTGGGTTTGGGGTTCTAGGGCTGAGGGAATGTCCTAGGCTTGGATGGAGACTGGCTGTACCAGACCAGAGGCCTCAGTGACAGCTGATGCCAAGGCATGTCTCCTGGTGCCCGAGTGCCTGTGAGAGGCTGGAGAAGGCGGTGGGGCACTGAGTACACCGGGTGTGTGGGAAAGTGTAGGATGGGGACATGGCTTGTGATTTGTGGGTGTCTTCACCCTCCTTGAGCAATAAGGCGGAAGGTATTATTTGTCATGGTGTTGGTTCAGACGCACAGTGACCTTAAATACAACAGAGCAAAATGCTGCCCAGTCCTGGGTCATCTCACTTGCTTGAGCAGACCGTTGCAGCCTCTGACCTCTACTTGACCACGCCTGGTGCCCCTTGACAGGGACTGGCCCCTCCTGAGGGCATGTCTAAGGTGGATAATACTAAGCCTTGCCATCCATTTCTTTTGCTGCTCTTCTTCAGCCCATACATGTTTGTTCCTTTGGCAAGCCCTGTCATTCAAAGGCCCCCCCCCTTCTCTTGTGGGCTCATTTTCTTTTGTGTGTGCTTTTGCATGGGCTTTCGCATGCACACGAAGCCGCTGAAAATACCCTGGCTTGAGTCAGATGTACTTAGCCCTCCAAGTGGCCTTGGAACACTTTATGCTTTACTACCCTTGGTCCTCTGCCCTTTAAAGATGCCCCGGGCATCAGATTTGCCTGATGCAGTGTGCCATTTGACTTCTTGACCATTGCTTCCCCGGGTGCTGGTTGTGGACCCAAGTAGCAGGAAGTCCTGGGTGGCTTCCAGCTCTCCTCCGTCAGCCATGCTGTTGCTCATCGGTCTGGTTGTGAGGCCTTTCATGCCCTTTATTTAGGGTGGGAAGTGGGCATGTAGGGAGGGGTGGTGGTGTGTGTGGTTATGAAGGCCCAGGGGAGGGGGTAGGAATAGAACCCGAAGCCCTGGCTCCTAGCCGTGTGCCCTTTTCCTCAAATGCCAATCCTTCCCATGGGAGCCAGAAAGCCCAGGAATGACTTCTGCTTGTCGAGTCTGAGTTTCTCCAGGGGAAGCTGAGCGCCCCTGTGCCCCCCACCGCCACTCCCCACATCGCCTCACCCTCCCTACCCTACTTCTCTTTCACGAGCTGAGGCGCTAATGAGTCTGGGGACCCCATCTATGCCACACCTGCTCCGGCGCTCCAGTCTGCCCTGTCTCCTGGGTTGTGAGGAGAGTCAGCAAGTGGGCGTCAGCCTTGCCAGTGCTGACAGTAGGTGCACACAGAGGCCTCTGGCCGCCTCCGGGAGAAAGCCCCCTCCCGCACTGACTGCAGCATGTTGTACAATCACTCTTTTCTTTGTTTGCCCTGTTGGGGGGGGAAACTGGTGTAAAACCCCCAGCACGTAGGAGATCCTCCCGACCCCAGTGCCCATCCCCTACCCTGACTGCTCTTTTCTCTTGTCAGCTTGCCGGCCCCTCTGGCTCACGGGGCATGACCCTGCTCCATTTGGCAAGGCAGAAGCCATGGACACACGGAGGCGGCATGGGAGCTGAAGAAGTGGACGGGGCCCAGGAAGGAAGGCAGAAGGCCAGGCAGGGCTGAGGATGAAGATTCAGCCCCTGGATGCACTCGGGCTCTCAGGACACCTGGCTCAGGACTCCTTGCCACAGGCCTGGCCTTGTGTATGGGGATGGGGAGCTGCCTTCAAAGCTCTCTCTGCTGGGGGCCCCCATAGACTGCTGTTTTGTCCCTAGGCTTTGTGCCCTGCCCAGGCACCAAGCCACCCTCCCAGGACTCAGGAGGCCAGCCTGGCACCGGAGGAGGGGCCCCTCTGGACTTATCTCTGGGGAGGGAGCTGAAGGGCCTGCAGTCCACACTT